ATTAATATATTAAAATGATTGGTTGAGATTGGTTCTCACAGTTACCACAAACAACTCAGTTCTCCCTTGAGTAGGCCCCTATATATATATATATATATATATGTATGTGTGTGTGTGTGTGTGTGTGTGTGTATATATATATATATAGGGAAGAGTTGAAACGAGAACACCTTCATTTTAAGAGAACGCGAGAACACCCTTTTACTATAGACAATCACATGTAATACTATTATTTTATCACAAATGATACATATGTGATACTAAATTAGAGATGCGGGCGATTTTCGATACAATCTTGGTTGTGGGCCAAATCGCCCTTACACCACTAAGCCCCCTCACAAGTATTATCATATGTGATAAAGTTGTTGTTGATATGATACTATAATCCATCAAAACCATCATATGTGATGCTAAATCATAGACGCAGACAACCTTTGACGCGGCCTAAGTCGTAGAACATGTCGTCTGCATATCACATGGTTCCCTTATGCGTATTATCAAATGTGACAAGGGTGTTCTCACGTTTTTGTAAAATGACGGTGTTCTCGTTTGAACCTCCACACACACACATATATATGGGCACGTTCAAATGAAAACCGTGCATTTCTAAGAAACCGTGTAAACCAATTTCGATCAATAGGAAAATTCCATTTTTTTCTAATTAAAATTAATCAATAGGGGTATTTCAATCATTTACAATATTTTCTATTAAATATGGAAGTTATTAATAAATCTTAATTAAGGAAACGTAATAAAGGAAATTGTATAAATGGTAACATTTAAATATTTAATTATATTCTAATATTAAAAATTTGAATTTCATATATTGTATTCTTTAAGAATCAACAAACGGGTCTTGATGAAACAATTGAAGTGTATAATGAAATCATCAAATCGTAGATGAACAAAAACAAAATCCAGAAATGAAACAAGTTTCATGAACGTGAAACTGATTCATGTTGCAAATAAATTATGTGAACTGAAACATTTTCATGGTGAACCCGTTGCATTGATTGTGTAGTTGATCCATTTAGTTGGTGAAGAGGAAAATGAAACCGGTGCATTTTGTATTTGGTGCGTCATGAACTAAGTGCATGATGAAAAGAGGAAATGATTTTAATCTGCTACAGAATCTTGAAGATTGTAACCTGCTCCAGAATCT